AGAGACTCAGCCGCCAGAGAGATCAGGGCAGCTGTATCCAAACACATGAAATGATGCTACAAGGTCCCAGTGACTCATCTGGCTCTCAGAACTTGGGTGGTGGCCCTCTGTGACTCCAAATATTCTCAGGCTTTCAGATATGGTAAACTAGTGTAGCTCTCTTTCTCCTTCAAAAGGAAAATGTCAAACAAAAATAAATTCATATGGTATTCCTCCAGGAGAAAATGCTTCTAGAACATGGCCATATAGCCCGAAAAAACCTACAACAACCCAGTGATTCCGGCCATGAAAGCCTTCGACAATACATTCCTCCAGTAACTTTATATGGGGCAAAATTCCAGCTAGAGAAAGAGAGAGTGGTAGTTTGAGAATTGGACCTTGACTATGCATTTCATCTTAGCCTAAACATTGGGAAGTGATGAGCTACAATTGTGGAAACCAGGCTTGAATCCCGGTTTGGCCACAGAAACCCACTGGGTGATTTTGGCCATGTCATATTCTTTCAGCCTCTCAAGAAGGCCATGCCAAGACTCTTCTGAACAGATATTACCAAGAAAATTCCATGACAGGTCTACCATAAGTTGGAAATGACTGGAAGGAACACAACACAAATTCCAGAAATGTGATGGAAATTTCCATCAGGTTTAATTGGAGAGATGATTCATACAAACAGACAATCCACACAGTTATCATTGCTGTGATATGCTGATGATGGTCTAGGTGCTGTAGATTTTCCTGATAACCACATGTTCACAGCTTTCTGCCTGTAATTCATGCATCTGGTAAATCCACATCTGTCCTCTGACCCTGTTTTAAGTAAGTTCAGAAGGAGATTTAGAAGGCAGATGTTGACAAGCTGGAATGTTTCCAGAGGAGGTTGACTAAGATGACCAAGAGTCTGGAGAACAATGAGGAGTAGTTTCAAGAGCTGGGTATGTTTAGCCTGCAGAAGGCTGAGAGGAGACATGATGGACATGTATAAATATGTGAGAGGAAGTCATAGGGAGGAGGGAGCAAGCTTGTTTTCTGCTGCCCTGGAGATTACGACACAGAACAATAGCTTCAAACTACAAGAAAGGAAATTCCACCTGAGCATTAGGAAGAACTTCTTGAGTGTGAGAGCTGTTCAGCAGTGGAACTCTCTGCCACGGAGTGTGGTGGAGGCTCCTTTTTGGAGGCTTTTAAGCAGATGCTAGATGGCCATCTGTCGGGCGTGCTTTGGATGTGATTTTCCTGCTTCTTGGCCAGGGGTTGGACTGGATGGCCCATAAGGTCTCTTCCAAAACTAATTACTTATAAGGGCCTTCTAAGTGGCTGCTCCAAAATCGTACACTATGAACCACAGCAGGCGCAGCATTAATAATGTATTGACTTGATTGACAATGGACAAACCTCAGACTATGACTTTGGATGGGATTTGGTCTTGGATTTGTTAAATTTTGTTTTAATGTTTTAATTTATTGTTTAGTTAATGTTTTAATTGTGATGTTATTGCTATTGTTTATGTGGCATCTAATGAGTGCCGATTGTAAGCCACTCTGAGTCTCCCTTTGGGGGTGAGAAGGGCGGGATATAAATGTCCAAAACAGATGCAGGCGAAACGTCAGGAGAAATGCCTCTAGAACATGGCCATATAGCCCGAAAAAACCCACAAGAACTGAGTGATTCCAGCCATGAAAGCCTTCGACAATAAATAAATAAATAAATAACTATTCAGAGACAAAACAAGAAGCATCCCTCAACAAGATTTAGCACCTTAGACAAAACCTTTAAAGTTAAAAATAAAACCTGGATCAAATTTATTGCCTAACCAACATGAAAACACCAGCTACCACTGGGAATAGGCGTCCACTGTACCAGTAAGGAGACAGATTGTACCCTTGTAAGGGTTGCGATTTAATTTACTTAACAATGAATAAGTATGTCTTCTGAAACACTTCTCACAAAACCCTCCTGATCCTCCATTTCCTAAAAGCATCCCTCCCTGTTCTTTCATTTTCACATTTGTCACACCTGGCAATGTAATTTCCTTCTTAATCAACATATTGTGTGCCTCAGAGTCTCTTTAATATTTCCCTCTGCTTCATTTTCAAACAAATCTTCACAAATTTTCCTCCTTCTCTCTTCCAAGGTTCAGCACAAGCATTTGATCTGAACCTTCAAAACAAACAAAATAAAAAGCTAACTTTTCTTTACATTTCAGCGCACCTTTGAATGTATGGACTTCTAGCATTTCTCCCCCCCTCTCCCTCTCTATGTAAACCTACAATTTCCTCCCATTAGCTGAAGGGGATAGATGACTTTTGTCTCATCTTTTAACATTTTTTCACCCTTATGCGAATGTGGAGCCAAAATCAGTCTGTCACAATACAAGCTCCCTTTAATATTTTTGCATGAAGTGCAGTCCAATTATTGTTATCTTCCTTTAAGATCCATTCAATTAAGCACTGATGTAGTGAACAAATGGTCACAGCGCTTTGTAACCACATGTATATCCCAGTTAATGGGAATCAGGTAAGATAGCTTCAACACCATTATTAGTTTATATCTTCTCTTTTTTCTTTTCTTTTCCTTTGTTTCTCTTTCTTTCTCTTTCCTTGTCCAAAGTCAGACATAATTTGGCCAGCAGCATAAATTTATGCACATTTTAAAAAATGGAAACCCATTGTAGATGCCTCTCCTGTGCATTGGTATAGAGCCAATGTGATGTGGTAGTTTGAACATTGGACTATATTTCTGGAGACCAAGATTCAAATGTCTACATAGCCATCGAAACCCATTGGGTGATCTTGGATACATCACATTCTCTCAGTTTCAGAGAAAGGCAAAAGTAAACCCATTGTAGACAAATATTGCCTAGAATCTTCTGTGACATCCTGGAAAACTCACAGCAACCCAGTGATTCCAGCCATGAAAGCCTTTGACAACACAAACAACATACAGTGGCAAACATTCAATGTTGTAAAGTGCAATCAAAAAAGCAAATAAACAAACCATGAATCAAATAATAACATATTAGACATCATAAATTCCTCAAATATCTCACTGGCTGGGAAACTGGGGAGCATATAAGGTTATTCACAGCCAGGGATGTAACTAAAGAGGGGAGGATAAGTTATTTGCAACCCAATACAAATCAATCCTGCCACCAATTAAAATTGTCTTTCAGTCACAAATTTTCTGCGACACAGAAAATTAGGGCACTGGGGAATTAAAGGAATGGGGAAGTGAAGAAAAAAAATCATGTGTGCAAAATTCTTATTTGGGGAAAGAATGCCCTCATTTTGTCTCCCAGCCCCTGACCTCTGCCAGCTACAACTCCTGTTTACACCATCTCATCCAAAGTGGACTTATCACAATTGCTGCCTGGGATAATCATTCAGGGAGATATGGGAAGATATTGTTGCTGAGCCTGCCTAAATGAAGAAGTCAACCGCTTGAGAGCTTTTCTTTGGGCGCCATGCCAAGTGGCAGGTGACTGTAACCATCCTACTCAGCAAGTGTTGTAAAACACAGTCTGTGCTAAATTGGCCTGCTGTAATAGAGAAGAAGCCAACTGCAGTGTTCCCCTCCTTCTTTTTCTCCATTTCTGTTTCTTTTCTAACACATGCAGCCTCTCGAACATTCCTCACCTACCCAACCAACTCACTTGACATGGCAAACTGATTCTCCTGCCTCAGGGTCAATGGGAGCTGACAAGCCTGCTTCGGGCAAGCCCGAATGCTCAATGCCAGCTCCACCTGGCATCCCTCCTATTTTCTCTTCCAAATCTTTTTGACAGTCCGTCAGTTCCTCCCTCCTCCCTGCTTTGTACCAGCCGGCTGCTGACTTGCTGTCAATGTTTCCCTCAAGTTCTCTGAATTCACCAGTGGCCACCTTCCTTCTGCTCGGAGGCGGTGTTGGGATGTGTCAAAAGCAGCCCAGAATCCTTAAAGCCTGTTTGTAGCCTCCAAGCAAAAGAAAAAAAAAGCCTGAGGTGTTTGAATGGAACAGACAGAAGCACTGACTGAAGTGGGAGAGGGGAGAGGAAAGGGAAAAAAAGAGTGAGGATGGAAGAGAAAATGTTAGGGCAACTGCAGTCTCTCCTCAGAAGCTGTGAGACTTTAACACAGCTTGTTGGGCCAAAATGAAAGGGAGAAAAGTTTTGAATGGCACCTTCCTCAGTTTCAGATTTTGGCACATTAGATGTATGGTTTTCACAATATGAGGCAGACATGTTTGAGTTGGAGAAGAAAACAAGAGGGAAGGTATAATCTCTATCCTTATCTCTCAAGCTTCAAAGTTTTAGGCCAGATCAATAGACACCTGAGAACCATAGATGAACAGTCAGTATGATGTAGTGGTTTGAGCACTGGATTATGGAAATCCACCTAGGGGGAGTCATGCACTCTCAACTCCAGAAAGCCTTAGGGTTGTCAAAAGTAGAAAAAGACTTGAAGAGACACAACAACAATATACTATTATGTTGCAAAGAGGTAGGAGATATTACTGTATATCTACTCATGTATAAGTTGACCTTGTCGAGGGCAGGTTTTGGGACCACAATTATGGATTTTCATAAGACCCAAACATAGGTTGAGGGTCATTCAGCAGAGAGGGGCAACTGATAGTGCTACCCTTCAGCATGAGTCACTTTTGGCAATTGCCACCATTTTCCTACCTAGGCATTTAGAATGGCCAGAAATGCCACCATGAGCTGGAGCTTATTTTAGGTTCTCCAGGACTAAGGTTTTACCTTTTAACACCTTTTCTTGAGTATTTTCAAATATTATTTGCATCTCAAGCCTAAACTTTGAAGGAGCAATTTCGTAAGTAAGGTTCAAGAACAATAAAGTTCAAACTAAAACAAAGAACAGGTTTATCACCACATGGATATTGAGTCAATCAGTCATCACTATCCCCAAAACAGGTACAAGTATGTCGCATGACTAAGAAGGAGAAGGCAAAATATTTGGTGGTCACAAACCATTATTATACCTTTCCTTTTTGTTTTCTCTTACCTCTCTGTCAAGTCCAGCAGCCACTGTCACAATGTCTCCTGTCTCACTGTTAATGGTAAACATATTCTGTGATGGGCTTTGCGGGCTTTGCGTCACAATTCGGTACCTCACCATCCCATTGGCTGTGGTGCTGTCATCTGCATCATTTGCTGTCACGGTCATCACATAGGTTCCTTTGAAGAAAGGGGAGAAACAACACAACCAATCTTAATGATCTCTGTGAATGGGAGAGGGTGGTCTAGAACACCCAAGAGTGAAGATGACA